GGAAGACACAAGCCAGGGCTACCAGAGAACTTCTTAATTTAAGAAATTCTTGCTTAAAGAGGAACTGAAGAATCAAATGCAAGAGATCGAGAACTGCATCCAAGGCCTCATGCACAGCCACGAAGAGCTTAGAAAATTGCGCGCACCAAACCCAGAAATAGTCCGTAAAGTAGACTACACTTCTCAAGTTTCTGAGGACATAAATGCACTAATCAAGAATCGACTTGAAGATATCGAGAAGCAAGACTTCAGTCCAGGGATAATTGCATTATTCAAAGTAAGTGAAGGTTCCCATCTGTTTTTGGCGGGATCACAGAGTCTCAAATTTCGCCTTCTACTTAGGCCTATCGCTTAAGCGTTTCCAAGCATTCTCACATGTCGTCAAGCAAAACTGACGCAGCATCTGAACAGCAGCAAAGAAGGCTGAACTCCAATTAGTCCAAAAAAATTAAGAAAAACGCAACAAACTATCCGAGATTCAGGCACACTTTCAAGAAAGTAATGGAAGAAAAGAAAAAACTGAAGAGGCTGACAGCCGAGAAGGATGTCAAAATAGCTGCAGCTCGATTGAAGGTCTATGAGGACGAGGAGGAAGAACCGAACTTCTCTAGTGTAGGGAGGCGCTAGGCCAGATATAAATAGAGAAACCAGTTCAACTCTTCCCGAAAATGTCGAATCTCCTTCTAATTCGTCAAAGACACCATTTAATGATACGGCTACGCTGCTAAAAGCTTTCGAGGAGGGCATCTCTTTGGGAAGGCTACTGCCCGAACCAAGTACCTTTAGTGGACTCCCAGTGCAGTTTACAGAATAGAAGAATTCCCTCTCAGCACTTATGGAAAGCAAGAACATCGGAGCAGCAGGTAAAATATTTTACCTCAGGAAGTACACCACGGGTGCTGCAGCAAAAATGATACAGAGAATATTTCTATGTTCAGATGAATCAGCATATTAAGATGCTTGGTCAAAATTGAACAAAAGATACAGAGATCCCATTCTCATCCAGATAAGCTTCAGAGAAAAGATCTCCAAATGGACGAAGGTGGCCAAAGAGATTTGCAGGCATTCAGAGATTTCTCTGACTTCCTTACAGCCTACAGTGATGTCATACCACACGTCAAGGGGTTATCCATCCTGAACGACTGCGAAGAGAACAGAAAGATGGTGGATAAACTGCTTGAATGGGTTGTGAAACGTTGGAATCGTCGGGTGACTACTTCACTGAAGAAGCAGGAGTATCCGTCCTTCAAGGAGTTCTGTGATTTTGTCGCAGAAGCCGAAGTAGCATGCAACCCTTTAACTTTGCCATTTGTGTTGAAGCGCCACGAAAGTCAGAGAAAGGAAGTTAAACAAATAAGACAAGTCATGGCAACGCAAGCCTCGGGTCAAAGCTGCTAAGCCAGCTAGATTGTGCACCTTTGCAATGGTCCATTCATAAGTGCTCTAAGTTTGAAGCCAAATCGGCGGAGGAGAAGAAGCAGTTTGTGCAAGACAACAGACTTTGCTTTGGCTGTCTACGAAAGGGCCATCAATCTAAAGAGTGTAAGAGGCGAGCCACATGTTCCAAATGCAAACCCCCCTCCATGAAGACAAATTGTCTGAGATTAAAAGTCCCACCAAAGAAAGACGAGAACCAACCAAGGCTGTGTGAATAGCTGTGGCTTGGATTCCAGCCTGCGAAGTTCTCACCTACGCTATGTTGGATACTCAGAGTGACACATCCTTCATTCTGAACTCTACAGCCGAAGGTCTTAGGGTTAAAAGTGGTCGTGTCCAGTTCAAGTTGGCAACAATGACGTCCAGTTCCACAGTCTCAGACTGTAGTCTCCGTTCAGATATTACCGTAATAGGAATGCACTCTGGGAAGATCATCACTATTCCGAAGGTATAGACGAGAGATTTCATTCCCGCAGAAAGGTCACTCATCCCCACCAGAGAAACTGCCTTGAAGTGGTCTCACCTCGAGTCAATTGGCAATAAAACTTTCTCCAGTGCAGGACTGGGACATTGGGATGTTGATCGGGTTCTATTGCCCTGAAGCTGTCACGCCCTGAGAGACAGTATCCGGTCAAAATATCCAACCGTAAGCTGTGAAGACTGATCTCGGGTGGTCTGTGGTCGGAGGCCCATTTGGTACTACAGCCACGTGCCATAGAATAATGGCTAAAGAGAATCCTGTCCCATTCAAAAATGTCTTGTCGGTGCTTAAGATAGACTTTTAGGACGACAAATGTTGTAATGTGCCACAGGAAGATCTCCAGTCACTGCATACCCTGGACTCTTCCATTACAAGGCTGGATGATGGTCATCTGCAAATGCCTCTTCCGTTCCGCTCGAGTCCACGTCTACCAGACAATAAAATCAATGTCAAGCGTCTATCGGCCTTGGTTATCTCAAGCGCAAGTTAGAGAGGGACAGGAAGTACTGTAACGACTATATGAATTTTGTTGCATGATGCCATTGACCATGGGGATGCAGAAGAAGCCCAAATTCGGATACCAAAGATGGTGAAGTGTGGTACATTCCTCAACACAGTCTTTACCACCCTAGAAAGCCCAACAAGATACGAGCTGTTTTCGACTGTTTAAGTCAGTACCGCGGCACTGCCCTAAATGAACATCTCCTAAGCGGCCCTGATCTGATGAATGCCTTGATAAAAGTGCGGAGTCGCCTCAGAAATCACCCTGTATCCATTGCCTGTGACATAGAAAGAATGTTCCATCAGTTCAGAAAGAGGATGGAAGATCGAGACTATTTTTGTTTTCTTTGGAGGAAGGATGAAGACCTCGCTCAGGAGCATACTGAATACAGGATGAAGGTCCATCCGTTTGGAGTCATCTGCATCCCCATATGCAGCCCAGTGCATAAGGCATCATTTCTACGTGGATGACGGTCTGATAAGCACCGAGACAAATGAAGAGGCGATTCAGCTTAGAAGCAAGAGAGTTGTGTACCAGAGGTGGTATATTCACCTACACAAGTTCATCTCCAGCAGCACAGATGCCTTGGAATCTGTGTCTCCCCAGGAAAGAGCTGCATCTGTGAAAGAAGTTGATCTCAACGAAGACCATCTTCCCTGTCTTCCACTCTTGGAATACAATGGATGTCGATATGGATGAATTCTTCTTCCAGATTGAGACCAAATTTAAAGGCAGCCTTGACCCGCAGAGTAATTTTGCCTAAGGTTGCATCAGTCTATGACCCTCTGGGTTTTCTGGTTCCGTTCGTCCTGATAGGTAAAGTGCTGCGGCAGCATATGTGCCTTAATGCAAACGGATGGGTCGATCCCCTGCTAGCAGAGTTAGAACCACGGTGGGAGTAGTGGATATGTGGCCGACCTCCCCAGCATTTCAACAATTCGGATTCCACGCTGTCTCAAGCCAAGCCATTTTGGAGAAATTAAGTCTACCCAGATACACCACTTCTCGGGTGCCAGTATTGTGGGCAACGGCCAGTGCTGTAACCTCAGAATTCAGGATCTGCAAAACAGTGTACATTGTGTGCTGCTTACGGGCAAGTCTCGAGTCGCGCTGACTAAGGTAACAACAATTCCTCGTCTCGAGTTGACTGCAACTGTAGTATCTTGTCCAACGTGAAGGAAGTCTTCTGGACAGACTCCAAAGTTGTCCCAGCTTAGTTACATCAACAACGAGGCGCGACGCTTTCACACATTTGTGGACAACCGTGTACAGATAATCGAGAGGACACAAAAAACAGATCAGTGGTTCTACGTCGACTCAGACTCAAATCTCGCTGATCACGCTTCAAGGGACGAATAATGCTGGTCTAAGACGTGACAACTTAATCAGAGAAAATTCATCCAAGATATCACCGGAAAGCATATCATCTTAAGTTGTAATTATAACATCAGACTGGTTATACATTCTCTCTGTGGGTCATTTTTTTGGGGGGGATAAGGCTTCACATTATATAAAGCATAGAGATCATAAGATCTAACTATTATGATCTCAGTGGTTGCACTATACGCGCCCCAAGAAACGCACCCCTGGTGACTCTCAGGAAGAAGTCGGCATTGTGTTTTTCACTGTAAAGTCAAGATTATGGCCACAAGTTCAGTTTCTTTTAAATTTTACAGGGGTTAGCAACGTGATTTTTATTCGCCTTTCCGGGAGAATAGTAATAAACAATGCCCCAATTCTAAATGTAGCGGCCTCTATTAAAGCAAAATACGCCCACGGATTGGAGATTTTGTAAAGGAAATACCCTGAGCTGGAAGCCACAAGTCCAAAATTCGTGACTTACAGAAATTATCTATATGATCGCTCTCGGTTGTGGTATTGTAATTAACCCGTGGAATGTAAAAAATTCATTTGCTTGTGCGTATATTTAGCGACTTAGTGGAATACACCCTCCGACATAATAAACGCAGCTTTGGTATCTAAAGGGTGCATTCCACCAAATGGTTGTATTTTGCGCGCGAGCTTATTAATATTTTGTGATCCCACAGGATTTTTACAATAAGACACGCCATAATCAGGAGGCATCATAGAAATATTTCTATAAATCCCAAACTTAGGACTGATAGTTTCCAGTTTGGGGTATTTCTTTCACAAAAAGCCCAAAATTGAGGACCTATTTGGATAGAGGTGGTCGGCTACATTCAAAAATGAGCGCTTAGTTTTACTGCTATTTGGGGGGATATCACCGTTAAAAGGCGAATAAAAAACAAATTTCGTGGCTAACCCCCATGAAATTAAAACGAAAGGTGATCTTCTGGCCATAACTTGAATTTCCAGTGAAAAACGGAGTCCAGCCTCTTCTCACGAGTCAACAAGCGGCGCTATTTCCATCCGATTTTGCAATTTTTTCCATGGGCGCGTATTTGGTGTAGTGCAACCTAGAGAGTTGAATGCAAAATGAAATGGCGCCCTCGTTTTATTTTTTCCCGCAGCTAGCTCAACTGACGGTAAAATTCCACTGGTTTCCAATTTTCATGTCTGGCATACTCACCTGAAGGTTACCAGTGAATTATTTTGTTGGCCAGTACAGTGCAGTTTTCCCGGTTCCGATCCACCGTACCGCGACGTGTCCGAGCCGCGGTCGGTCGCGTGTGGTGCTGATGGAATGGTGGTTCAAATGTATTCGTTGTGACAGTGAGGCTCTTGTAATTCTTCGCATTTTCATTGACAGTATGAGCACTGACTTCATCCGTATAGGCCCTTTACCTGTCAAGTGTAAAATAAATGTTGCAGGAGTCTTGAGTCTTTTCTTACCACCAGAATCTCCCAGTTTCCTGCTCCGTTGGAATTAAATTAGCCGTGTGCTCTTGAAACTGTAAGTTGTAAGACATTAGCTACCGGCATCGTCATGCAGGCCGCATCTTCGGCAGGTGATCAGCTGGTGTCTCAGTCAGCTGATTCGCCGTTACCGAAATCTGGGAGACTTACGAGAGCGGAGATTAAAGGAGATGATAAAATGGATTGCAGAGGTGTGGGGAACGTAAGGGAAGGAGGCCTACCGGTACAGGTACTTCCGAAAAGTGAAGGTGCAAGGGACAAGCCTGCTCCAGCAGTTCGCCGGAAAATGATGCAACATACAGTGATAGTGTAAGTACATTCATGAGATTGAGAGGTTACAGTCACTTTGCCCATTTTTACTTCGCCCACAACCACCTGCCCATTGACCACTTCACTGTCTGTTCCTCTGTTCAGGTATGGTTTAACCAAGGAGATGCCATTAGGACACTCTTTTTGAATTCTATGGTTCTTTTATATGTAACGGTTTGCCCGTACCCAACGTATATT